GCTGACATCAAAATAGAGGAATTAGATAAAGCAATAGATAAATTATCTTCAGGGAAATCTCCAGGCCCTGATGGCCTCACTTCCGAATTTTATAAATTCTTTAGGGAAGATTTGAGAGAACTATTATTTCGAGCCTTTCTTGAATGTATCCAAAATGATTCACTATCTTCGACTATGAAACAAGGTCTAATTACTCTTATCCCCAAACCAGGTAAAGATGCACGACATATAGATAATCTTCGCCCCATCACTTTACTCAACTGTGATTATAAAATTCTAGCTCATATATTTTCCAATAGACTCAAGAAAAACATAAATCAAATAATTCACAGTAGTGATTCACAGTCTGGTTTTATAAAAGAAAGATCAATACATAATAACATCAGATTGATTTGAGATATTTTAGATTATCGTGAATGTATTGAGGATGATGGCTATATTCTCTTTTTAGATTTTAGAAAGGCATTTGACACGATCAAACATAATTTCATATTTCGCTCCCTCGAAAAATTTGGTTTTGGCATTAAATTCATTTATTTTATAAAAACGTTATATAAAGACATTAATAGTTATATATCCCTTTCATTTGGAACATCCCAGAGATTCAACATTTCACGAGGAATAACACAAGGATGTCCCATTTCCCCTTTTCTATTTATCTTAACAGTAGAAATGCTTGCTATCTTGATAGATAAAAACAGCAACTTTGATAGACTCAGTGTATTTGGAAGACAAATTAGTACAGTGACGATACAGTGATCTTTTTAAAGGACCAATTTCAGATTGATAAAGCCATTCAACTAGTTAATCTCTTTTCCAAAGCATCAGGCATACACTTAAACTTGAACAAGTGTGAGTTACTTGCAATTCATGGCAGCGAACTAGACTCTTTATGTAACATACCAATAAAAACATGTGTACAATACTTGGGGATAACTATTACTAGAGATAGCAATCAAAGTGTCCAAGAAAATTTTGTTAAAAATCTTTCAAAAGCAAAACCTATTCTCAATAACTGGATACAAAGAGATATCTAAATTTTTGGGAGAGTTTTATTGACTAAAATGGAATTACTCTCCAGGTTTGTTTATCCAGCCTCCTCTTTAGCTATCCCACCTCACTTACTAAAATAATGTAATATTGCATTATTTAACTTTATTTGGAAAAATAAGCACCACTATATTAACAAAAATTATTTAGTTCACAGTTACGAAGAAGGGGGGTTAAATGTTATTGACTTGGTTCAATGGTTAAGATAATTTCTTTGTAATACAAACTGCTTATGGTTTACTGTCTCTTCTTCAATATTTGGGAAAGTAGGTGGCTCAGAATTTTTGATTAGATGTGACTTTGATTTGTCCAAATTACCTCTTAAATTGTCTGCATTCCATCAACAAGTTATCATGTGTTGGAAATTAGCATTTTCTCACAACTTTAGTTCACACAAAACTTGTATTTGGAACAATCGTTTTATTTTGCACCATAACAAATCTTTATTTTATGAAAACTGGTTTCAATATAAAAAAATGTCCCTATTGGACATGATGGACAACTATGGTAATGTTATCAATTACAATGATTTTTGTTTAAAACATGGATTTGTATGTCATCCTAAAGAGTTTTACAATGTTGTAAATGCCATACCAAAAAACATGGCATTATTACTAAAAGGGATTTATTCTGTGACATTCTCTCTCCCATCTCCTTGTCTGGGTGAATTGTTTATTAGAGATCATAAATGTAACAACAAATATATTAGAAGTGTCTTCATTGATAAACTTCATCCAAATAGAATTAAACGACATTATGTTTTCAAAGATTTTAATCCCAAAGAGGTGAAGGAAATGAGAATTAATTATCTTACCTTTCCAAGTCTCCTTAAAGTGAAAGAACTTCATTTTAAAATAATAAATGACATATACATCTAAAGAATTTCTCAAATCAAAATTTCTAATTTGTCAATTTTTGTCAAGAATTTCTCAAACTCAAAGTTGTTTTTGACTCAATTGTGCAGTAAAATGTAATGTATAGTTACATGTGTAAATCCCCTTGAATACAAACAAATTAAGTTTGGTGTGCTTAAGAAAGATTGTTCACAACATTACTTGATTAACAACCTTTTTGAAGTTGCTAAATAAACGCCTTCATCCTTTCCTCACTTTTCTAATGAACTTAAAATTTGTGCTGCTTCTCTTGATGCCCTTTCAAATGAAAAAGCTACTACAGTTGCCAGTTTCTTCAGTGAGCTAAGCGCCCTATAACTCCTTGCTACCCCTTGTATGAACTTACTATTCTATAAATGCTTTTACTATTATTTTTTATTTTAACTTATTTAATTATTATTTTTTATCCTTCTTTGTTTTTCATTGCCCTTCATAATTGTACGTTTAATGTAAAACTTCACTGTTACATATTGTAATTGCAACTATGTCTGCATTTGAGAATTGTTAATTGTTAATATTGTTTGTTCAATGCCTATTTTTGTATGTACATTTGTTTATTTACTATTAAAAAAATGAATGGGAGCATGTCGCTTTGTCGCTGGCAGTGTGAATGGGGCTTTAGAGTATGTTAAATTGGTAGGTACACGTTAAAACACATGTATACAATTTTCATCATCGTCTTGTATGAATTAGCCTACGTTTTTAAAACGTTGGAAGGAAACATGCGAACGTGATAAAACGTTATAAAAACGTTTCTGCAATGTTGTGAAAACAAGACGGTTTTGTCTGACCCATTTTATTACGACAAATGTCGGGGTTTTTTCACGTTATCACAACCTTTTCACAAGGTGAAAAAAAAAGTTTATGAGAGATACAAACTTTAACAAAAAATGTTGTTTCCTGTTTACTCAGGACTTTTCTGTATTTACATAGAGACTCTTTCACCTAGAGATCATGTAGAAACTGTGTCTGTTCCCTGGACTTGCAAATCACTGATTCTTGGGAAGTGGGACAAAACAGGGTGCAATATTGAAAAAATAAAACCTTGTACTCAGACAAATGAAACTACATTTGCGTCTTAATTTATTCATTAATCTTACATGTATTAAGCTACAGAGCTATGCCTTGATTCAACATCCTAACTTTTCTCTTTTATGAAAATATGATTTTTACCTTGGACTGTGTAATATAAATTTAACTTTATCTTTAACAGAGATCAAGGTATTTTTAACATTTCAAAACACATTATCATGTTAGCAGAAATATTACACTTTCACATGTGACCAACAATTCCTCAACAAATATAAAATATCATAATCAATTATGATCAAAATATTCATCTGACGGAGGAGACAGACCTGACAGATCTGATGTTGGTGATGAAAACCTGAATTTGTAGTCATTTTAACACTCAAATACATTGTCAATCACTGTATTAAAACAAACACAACAGACAGTGAGTATGTTACTGTTTCTAAAGCTTTTAATCAAGATTCATATTTAAGTATTTTGATGTATCATTGAAACATAAATGATCCATTTTTTCTCATCTCAGTACAGTATGTGTCTGCTGTGCATCTCTTATAGTAGCACGGTAACTTTTAAAAACAACTGATTTATTTGTTCATATAACTGTTACCTCTATCCATTTACATTCACCAGGATCTTAATAGTCACATTTAAACATCTTAGCAAATGATCAAAAGTGATCAGAACTCATATGATACCCCAAACCACAAAAATATGACTTTGTGTTGAATGTAAACTCCATCATTGGCCAGTCTTGAAACCTTACGAGTCCTTGAAAAAATAAAAAAAAACTTGCTTTGATATGAGGTATTATCAAGTCTTGCTTTTAATTAATAAAAACAAGCTCTTTTGTATCATTAAAAAAAAAATTTCATCCATTTTATAGCATATGAATGATTGAATTGTATCTGTGTTGTTTCAAGGGGAAAAGCATGAACGGTTTAAGAATTCCATTTTACAGATTAGACAATGAAGACTTATTGTTATTTCTGCAGCATAAGAAACACAACGGCTATTCAAACTGGGAATTAATAACTTTAAGAAATACAGCGCTCCATTACTTCAGTCTCAAACTGAGTTCTGCATTTTCTCTGTGATTGGTTATAATGCACAACACTGCAGACTGCGCTCAAAAAGAAATTTGATGCAATGTAATAAAGCAAATCTACCATAAATGAAATTGCGAGATCAACACCTTTCATTCATTTCACTTTACACATTTCACATGAAAGCTTCTTATACCACTACTACAAAACATCACCTAAATTAAATCAAATGTATTCCTGTGGAGTCGTTCACAGACGGCACACACAGTGTTCAGCTAATAAAGATCCTCAGCGCAGGCCAACAGCAGAATTTGCAGATTTGGCTTCAATTGTCTGAAGGTCTTTATGTTCTCCCTGTTCTTAAATTTCCAGGTATGAATGAGAATCACCTTCAGATGATTCAGTGCGTGCAGGGAACTGAACAAATCATTCAAAGTGATTCATGAACAAATGCACACCGCTTTGCAGGCTTCTTTGTTCAAGACCTTGAACAGAATCGACTCAAAAAGAGAGATTCATTCGTGAATGGGGCATCGTTCATGACCCAGATAAAAGAGCGCACTTGGAATAAATTACGTTTGATGAGGATTTGTTAAGGACACATCATCAGATCTGAAGATGATCTACTTACTGTGAATGTTTTTTGTATGACTGTGTAGAGCAGATGAATTATTGAAACACTTCCCACATGTAGTGCAGTGATACGGTTTCTCTCCAGTGTGGATCCTCTCGTGTGTTTTCAGATGTATTGACCGACTGAATCTCTTGTCACAATGTGAACACTTATACGGTTTCTCTCCAGTGTGAATCATCTCATGCTGTTTCAATGTGCAGCTGTAGTAAAAGTCTTTTCACAATCAAAGCACATGTACTCTCTCACAGCAGTATGTATTTTCTGATGTTCTTTCAAATACTGTAAACATGAAAAACTCTTTCCACACAAATAAAATGAATGTAGCTTCTCCTTTATATGAACTCTCAGGGGTTTCTTCGGGTATGAAGAACTCAAAAATGTTTTGCCGCACTGATCACATGCATACAGTTTCTCTCCAGTGTGGATATTAATGTGTCTCTTAAGGGTTGATGATTGAGTGAAACTCTTGCGCACTGATCACAAGTGTATGGTTTCTCTCCAGTGGGAACTCTCATATGATGCTCAAGATTTGGTTTGCTTGTCAAACTCGTTCCACACAGAGTGCAGGTGAAAGATTTATTGGCTCTTCTTTTCTTTAAATCTTTGTTTAGTTTCAGAGCAACTCAAAGGTTTTTCTCTACTTTTGACATGATTTCTCTCCTCAGATTCACTCAATTCTTCATTCTCCTCATTTAACTCTGAAATAAAAGTAAAAATGGTTTATTTTCAGTTAGTCATAAAAACAGAGAAATGTGAAAAGAGATAAAAATGCACCGTGATGTAAACATATATACAGGTGCATCTCAATAAATTAGAATGTCATGGAAAAGTTAATTTCAGTAATTCAACTCAAATTGTGAAACTCATGTATTAAATAAATTCAATGCACATACTGAAGTAGTTTAAGTCTTTGGTTCTTTTAATTGTGATAATTTTGGCTCACATTTAACAAAAACCCACCAATTCACAACAAATCTCAACAAATTAGAATACTTCATAAGACCAATAAAAAATTTTTTTTAGTGAATTGTTGGCCTTCTGGAAAGTATGTTCATTTACTGTACATGTACTCAATACTTGGTAGGGGCTCCTTTTGCTTTAATTACTGCCTCAATTCGGCGTGGCATGGAGGTGATCAGTTTGTGGCACTGCTGATGTGGTGTGGAATCCCAGGTTTCTTTGACAGTGGCCTTCAGCTCATCTGCATTTTTTGGTCTCTTGTTTCTCATTTTCCTCTTGACAATACCCCATAGATTCTCTATGGGGCTCAGGTCTGGTAAGTTTGCTGGCCAGTCAAGCACACCAACACCATGGTCATTTAACCAACTTTTGGTGCTTTTGGCAGTGTGGGCAGGTGCCAAATCCTGATGGAAAATGAAATCAGCATCTTCAGAAAGCTGGTTAGCAGAAGGAACCATGAAGTGCTCCAAAATTTCTTGGTAAACGGGTGCAGTGACGTTGGTTTTCAAAAAACACAATGGACCAACACCAGCAGATAACATTGCACCCCAAATCATCACAGACTGTGGAAACTTAACACTGGACTTCAAGCAACTTGGGCTATGAGCTTCTCCACCCTTCCTCCAGACTCTATTTCTCAGCAGGATAGGGAAGGTAATCATGTTCGGATCTTGTATTGGAGTACTTTGGACTGATTGCATTACTCTTGTGTTAGCATGGGGAGGTTTAGGAACTGTTTCTCAGTTAAGTTGTGACTTCTTTCTTTGAGCCTCAGATTTAACATTATTCCAATATATTTTTGATTCCTCCAAATCTTTCTCAATTTGTGTTCCAATTCTTACTAATTCACCAACATTTCGTACTGTTCCTCTAAGTAGGCTGGCTAACCGTGGGTTAAAATTTCTAAGAATGGACTGCAAAATCTCTTTTTCTGACATATCCTTTTTCCATTTTAAACAGAGGGCTCTGTAGTAAAAAGCAAAATCTCATATGCTCTCTTGTGCACCTTGTTTTCGCTCTAAGAGCCTTCTAGCTGTTTCATCCTCATAGTCTTCATTCAAAAATGAATGTAGGAAGAATTTCTTAAATTGTTTCCACCAATCTTTTGCAGTGTTCTTTAAAACAGAGGTAAGGGAAGCTAGTATTTCATAGTCAGACAAGGGTCAAATGGCTAGATATTCCTCACATCTCTCAATAAATGAAACAGGATCATCATCTTCACTGCTATTAAAGTTTGGGAACTCTATCTTTACAGGTGAAACTGCCGAAAGGCTTCCAGAACCAGACAACTGAGTGTAACTTGATAGGTTTGGTTATTGAATTGGGAAACTGAGGGCAGCGGGATGGAGCGTAGGTTTGGACGAATTGGAGTTGACTTCAGAGGGATGAGAGATTTGAACTTATTGTCAATCTGGGTGTCTCTTCGTTTTAAACAATCTATCATTGAGCGACCTAAGCCTTGGATACTAAGTTCAAGTTTTTGCTGAATTCTAGAACATTCCCTCTCCATTCGATAGGTTAGTCTGTCTTCTATTTTCTTACATCTACTCTCCACTTCTGCCTGAGAAAAACCTTCACCCGGCTTTTATTACATTCTTCCAGTCCTTTTTTCCATATTTGTGAGTCTCTCCTCTAGCTGTTCCAAACTGTCCATAACAGAAGATAAAGAGTTGAACTCTGGTCTTTCTTCCATTTCGAGTGGTGGAGGTGGTGGAAAAGAAAGGTTATCAACAAACTCAACAACTCTTTCCTCTCCAGAGTCGATACACTGTAAAAAATTATTCTGAGTTTTAGTCAGGTGGACAAGTAAAATCATGTCCTGTCAATTTTAAGTGTCTCACTACACAATAGGATGAGTTATAA